TGTGAGGTTGGTGGCGAGCAAGCCATGGGATGTCAAAGACACAGTCAAAGGCTCCGCTTAGCTTAATCACCAGAAAAAAAACTCGTCGGAGTCATTGAAGCCGTCGAGCTCGTACGCGAAGGTGGCTGCGCGCCGAGGCACTCGGCGCGGCTTGCCGTCAGCATACTTGACGACCATATAGCCGGGTCCCTCGCGGACGCTCGTGCCCGGTGGCAGTACCGACAGGCTTTCGGCGCGAAAGAAGTGGTTCGTCGCGACTGAGTCCAGGAGCGCACGAATAGGTCGTACGGCTCCCTCAACGTGGAGACTGAGCACGATCAGTCTCGAGTCACTGCCGGAGGTGGTGGCCGATAGATGTGCGTGAAGCACAGGAGGGCTAGGAGGAGGTTCCGCCACCAGGGAACCATCCCCGTTGTCAGACCCAGTAGGGCGCCCCGCACCTACTGGTCGTCGTCGTTTTTTGCTGGAGGGGCAATAGCCACGTCGGACTGGGTCGTGACGGTCGTCACGACAGGAGCTGGAGCGCGTCAAACTGCCGCGCGGTGTCCAAGCTTCTTACAGCGGAAGCAACGCAGCCGACGCGGTGTGCGTGCTGAAGACTGCGACGAACTCGACGAACCTGACAAACTGGATGACGTCGGCACCCGACGTCCGCCATGGTGTTGAATTGCATCCACCTCCATCGGTTCGGGACCGGGCTCGTGAGCCAAAGGCCTCGAGACGTCGAATGCTTGCGACGCCGTGACACTGTAGTCTTTGCGCAAAGCAATCACGAAGGCCTCTTCGAGTGTGGATGGATGTTTCCTTGTCAAGTAGAAACGCTAGTAGCCAGCGTTTAGTCCCGAAACGAAGACGTGGACCTGAGTCGCCATGTCCACGGGATGGGTCGTGATGCACGACACCAGATGCCGAGTGTGCTGAATGTACTCGAGCATAAACAGGCGTCCCTGCTTCAGCGACAGGAATGCGGACCGCTGGACGTTCTCGTCTTGAGGTGGCTCGAGCGCGAGCCGGAGGTCGGACTTCGTGGACGCCATCGTCGGGAAACAGGTGGCGTCGGCGACGAGCTTACCGAGTGCCCACTCTTTCGCCTTTCCCCTTACTTGAAGAGGAGGAAACGAGTCCTCGCGAGCTCGGTGGACAGTTGCATAGTATCGAGAAAAGATTAGTGATTGGCTAAAGTATAGAAAATGCACAAATTTAACCAATTATTGATGAGGTGTGATTCCTCGGTTGTTTCGCCAAAGTCTTAAAATAGACCTGATTTGGCAAATTCACGTGAAAAGCACAATTCATGTACATGTAGTCATCTCTCCGCTTCTAACCTTCTAGCGTGTCCGTCCGTCTGTCAATAAGTCCGTCCGGTTCCTTTCTTGCTGCTTCCTGCCTTTTCGCATGGCTACACTCGGCCTGTCTAATACAGTTTCCTCCCATCGTACCGACCTCGCCTATCTTTCTGACTCGACCTAGCTATGCCAAAATTACAAATATATCCAAAAGCGTCACACAATTAACTCGCGCCCTGATTGGGCAATACCGGCTGACCTGCGACACTGACTGGATCGGTCGCACGATCAGACCGCCTCTCTCCCTCGCGATTGGACGTAAGCTAAACATTTTTGCCGAGCACGAAACGCATCGATTGGTTGCAAACAGCTAGGCGATCTGTGCAGATACTTGATTATTGACGCAAAACCTGTCATGTACTGCAATCGGGCATAGTAACCACTTTATTTTCTAAGAGCTCTGCACACTTCTCAAATAGAGATATCTATCATATAATGTAGACTTCACAGACCTGTATTTTGTAAGAGCTCGGGGATGTTATTTTTTTACACACCTTTCAAGTAAAGACGA